TTCAAGTTGGAAGAAACATTTTCACATACAGTTTGGAGCAACGAAAAAACTGAGTACAAACCCAAATTTTCAGCCAAAATAAAAAACACACGAGCAGTTCCTAAAGACAATGAACAGAATGGAAAATCAAAACCCAAGAAACACCATACATTCTTGAAAAATTGTAGCAACACAGTAGAGAATGTTGAGCCGGGTGAGTTTGTATGGGACTGTAGCTGGAATCAAGATTCTCTTTTTATTTTAAATTTTAAATGGACCGTAATCTATAATGATTGGTAGGAATCAAGGATTCTCTTGTTTATTTTACTTTTTAAATGGACCGTAATAGATAATGAATTGGGGAAATGCTACGCTACAGTATGGAAATCATTCCGTCGGTATTTATAACGGTTACAAATTCCGACAGAATAGTTCCGTAATAGGACTGTAGAATCTCCATATCATTGGTACTAGTGCTGTTAAATTAAACGAGTCTGACTCGGATCGACTCAAGCTCGGCTCGTTAAGGCTCAGTTCGGCTCGAGTTCGAAGTTTTAACGAGCCGAGCTCGAGCTCATTTAAAGCTCGTTTGGTTACTCGGCTCGGCTCGATAAGGCTTGTTAAGGCTCGAAAAGTGAAATTTATGTAATTTTTTATCGTTCGGTTCGTTAAAGTTCGAGATCGGTTCGTTAAAGTTCGAGATCGGCTCGTTAAGGCTCGAGCTCGAGGCCTTAACGAGCCGAGCTCGAGCTCGATTTTTGGCTCGTTTACTTAACGAGCCGAGCTCAGCTCGGCTCGTTAAGATGTAGCGCCCCGTTCAATTTATAGAATTTCTCAGATTATTCTATTTATCGAATTTAATTATGAGATTATATTTATTTATTTTTGTTTATAAATGGATTTATAAAACGAAATTAATTATTCCAAGATGACGAGTAATTGAAATCGGGTATATTTCGATTAATCGTTCAAGGAAAGCTTTGAATCGAACCGAGCATGTTTGTTCGTAAGTTGAGCTTTAGTACTAATAATTAGAATAGTTTATGAATAAAGAGGTGACAAATCAAGAATCCTTACCTTATGATTTAACAGATATTAGTTGTTCAGCTGATTTATTTCAATACTGGGAATAATAATACAAGTCAACCGGACATAGAGCATCTATTAGTTCAGTTATATCTTTCAGCCAGCTATATTACTGTTAATATTCGAAGCTATGACAATTATCAGATTAGTTGTTCAATTATCAGATTTTGTTCAACCACACCATCAATCTTGTTGAGAATATTAGTTGATATGTATCTAAGTCAACTAGACAATTAGCATCATACAGATGAGAGAAGATCAACTAATATTCTGTATATATTTTATCTGATATTATAAATGCGGGTTTATTTGATAGGAGTAGGGGAGAATTGAAAACTTTCAAACTCATAATCAAATTAAAGATAAGCCGAGAGATAAAGAAGAGTTTTTCTGCATTTTTGTCACTATAGAAGATTATTTTCTTGTCGACTTCGGGTGTCCCGTCGGGACTCGATAAGTGAAGCTAACATTAGCGATAAGTGCTTTTGTGAAAGCACGAGAAGAGAAGAAGCCGTTGGTGGTATCGATTTATTATTTCGAGGTTCTGATCATTTATTTTTAGCTCACTTTAGTCGTATTGAAAAGAAGCTTCGGCCGTCTTTTCCGGCGGAATTCCGTTCCCGTTGTTTCGTTCGATTTCTTTAACCGAGCTCGTAGTTTTCCGAAGAC